ATATGAAAATGTTGACCTCCAAAGATCATGGGCTACTGCCAGACTATATGTGAAAAGCCTGAACTGAAAAATTCGTATTTTATATCACAGACTTAGCCGTTTCTCAAGAACCGTACATGATGGGAAAATTTTGAAGTTATTTCTGTGATCAGCATCATAAATTCTATCTGGTACACAAGGAATTATGAAGGAAACAAAAACCTTGTAAACCAGTGTAATCTGCTACAACACTAGAAAGTCACTTTCAGCTTTTCCCGTTTCAGGGGTTGCCACAGCGAATCATCACACTGACGGCTCACATGTTGACATTTGGCACACGTTTTACACCAGATGCCCATCCTGACACAACTCTGACTCAAACCCAGGCTGCAGCAGTGAGAGCGCTGTGCCACTAGCCTACCAGGGACTGACCTACCAGGGATGGCTATAATCTGCTACGACACTACTAACTCTCAAAACAACTAACGGTATTCATTTTGCTATAACTGATTATGGTTTGTGATTTATGTCAGTCACAAATAAAGGAGCTTCACCAATATACAGTATGTATTATGTATTTAACAGTTGTATCTGACACATGCAAATTGATTTAAGTTTATGAAAAACTACTAACAACCAGAGAAAGTATAGGTAGAGCCATATGTAATAGTACATGTATTTTCTCCATCTGACTTGCAGCCATTAACAGGTTCTGGATCAGTTTCCTGCCACATCTGTGATCTCTCAGATAGATGCCCATGTGCAATGTGAACATTTGTAATAATACTCCTGGTAATTACTGTACAACACAATGTATGTTTGAGGAGAAATGTGCAGGCAAGTCAGTGTGCAGTTCATTTTCATTACTGCACAAAGGCTTAAAGAAGATGGAAGATTAAATCTGCTGAGACAGATGCCGTGTGATTAAAACGGGGTCGACACTGAGGTCAGTGTTTCAGATTCTGGAGTCAAAAGATGCTGTTCAGGGTCCTTCTCTTCAGCACCAATTACATTGCACATTGTTTTGCTTTATAAGCTCGTGTCTTTTCTGATAAGTGACCAAAGTTCCTTCAAAAATTCAGCAGGTTAATTTAGCTTTTATAAGAACAAATATAACATTCAATATACTGTATAACTCAAGTTGCACTAACTAAAAATGTAACATCTCCTGGTTAAGTCGTAGCAGTAATACATTAAGCTGGGTTTACTGCAGTAAACATCTATAAGTTTAGGCTGCTGCTTGCTGTTAGGGTTTAGTCCCCCTCACCAGGAGGGTGAGGGAGAACTGGGGTTGGACTCAAGATGGCTGACCCAGGTGCTAGTACAAAAAAGGTGGTTTAATGGAATAGAAACAACAAAATGACAACATAACAGGGTCCATAATACATACAACCAGGGAAGGGCAGTGATGACTAAGGAGACCAGGACGGTAAACACACAAACTAACGACAGGAACTAGGATAGCAGGAGGATGAGAACGGACAGGTGAACAAAAAGAACCAAAAAAAAAAAAAAGAACCAACGTACACAATGTAATCCACAGCACAGGGACTGTCAGCGTGGAAGACAAAAGGACATATTGCTAACCGCATAACAGTGTGATAAGGTCAAGCCAAAACGCACAGGAACTGTCAGCGTAGCAGCTTAAACATGTCTAAAAATGCCGGTCTCACATCACATCACATCACATCACATCACATCACATCACATCACATCACATCACATCACATCACATCACATCACATCACATCACATCACATCACATCACATCACATCACATCACATCACATCACATCACATCACATCACATCACATCACA